AACTTCTTTAAATCCACTTTAAATGGACTCTTCTTCAGTTTAAAACCCCGTAAGGAAATCCCTGAGGGTGATGGGCATCCCTCATCACAAGGGCAGAAATCCAGCCACCTTCCTTAAAACCAACAGCAGATACAACAAACAGGTTTGGAACAGCTGAACTGTAGGTGCTAAGATTGATCTCACATAGGCTAAAAACAGCTCTTTTGCCCCAGAAAATCTGAAGGTTCCTTCTGCATTACAAATCTGACCTGTGAGTGAAAAAAACACTGTTGTCATTGTCACACGTCAGTGCCTGCAGCAGCTTAACGGGCCCCTCTTGCAGTGTCACAGCCTGTTTGGCTTCAGTGCCATCCAGCTTCAGTTAAGTTTTGAGGGATAGGATTGTGCTGAACTGTCACTCCCTCCCTGCCTGAGAACCCTCTGAAATATTCTTTAAATAGCTCCATGCCTTCATTCATCTGTCTGTGCTGCCACATGAAGCAGCACTAATTACTCCTTTTTATCAGAGCTGTGGCTTTTTGGGGACAAGACTACGTTCAAAAGCGGGTGAGGAGGAACACTCTCTCGCGATGAAGCCCCTGCCTTGGTGCTGTCCAGCTCTGTGTCACTGCTGGCAGCTGCCCGGAGGCAGAAGGGTGCAGACAGCGTGACTGCCGGTGGCAGAATCCCCTCCCAAAATCCCAGTTAGGAAACCCAGTGGGCTATTTCAGTCTCTGGTGTCAATGCTAATCGTAAATACTCTTTCAGGGCTGTAGGAGACGCGGAGAATTCTTTATGCTCGGGAGAGAAAACCGGACACGGAGGACGTGAGCACATCACACCCGAGCTCACCCGGGAGCCACATCCACCAGCAGAGCCGCCCACCCCGCGCTGCCGAGCAACATTTCCCCCGGGTTCTGAGCAGCGGAGCCTCTGAGCCTCTCCCCGGGGGGTGTCTGGCTCCTGTCAGGAGCTGCCAAGGTCGCCGCTCAGGAGCTGCGGGTGCCCCTGGGCGCGGTGACAGCGAGGATGCTCCGGCGCCTCCCCCGGGGCTGGCACGGACAGAGCAGGGATGAGCTCGCCTTGGGAAGCTGAGGGAGAAACCCGTTCTGGGCCACAGATCGGGAACAATCCTCGCTCGTTCCCCGGGGAGGCAGAGGAGGGGCCCCGCAGGTGCTCCGGGCTAGTGGCCGCTTCAGCCCCTGCCGCGTTTGGTTTGTGAATTCCTTTGCAGCTGCCTTGGAAGAAGAGGAGGTGGCTGTTGGAGATGAGACAGCTCTGGAAATATTTAATGTATGTCTAGATATGAAGTGCTAATGCAAATAGCTCCCCCCCCCCTCTCCTTTTTCGTACTGCTCTGCTGAGTTTTGGGTCACCTTGACTCCAGCAGCTTGGTTTCCTTTCTGTTAATTTTTTTTGCCCTTGCTGTGCCAGTGTCAGTGGCTGTCAGGGAGCTGTGAGAGGGTGTTAACTCCAAGCTCACCTAAAGTCAACTTCCCTGGGCCTCTACACCCCTCCAGCTGAAGCCCTGGGCTTCAGATTTCTGTGGGGACAGAAATCTGCAAATCTGGACTATAAAACGTGGTGTTTGTTATCAAACTCCCATCTTGTAATTTGAACAAGACGTTTCTTTTATATATTGAATATTCCTGCAGCTGGAGTTTTTAACTGGCAGACTCCCTGAACTTCATTCTCGGGTTCCTCTATCGTGTGCAGTCATTCAGGCTTACCTGGGGTGCACTGATTCAGGAATGCTCTTCATTTAACCTTGAGAAGTGAAATATCCAGATCATTTCCTGTAGTAGTGTCTGTATCTGAGTTCAGCTTCTATTTGTGCTCAGCATTGACTGATCAGAGTCCTTTCAGAGTTGGTATTTCTGTTCTACGAGGATATTTATACATTAATTAAGCCATACTTCAGCCCTACTTCTGATAAACTACCCAAAATATTCTCTAAGTCCTTTAGAGTAGGAATTTTTTCTCTCTGCACCACTTAGGTCATTTTCTTCTGTGGCTTTCAAATTTTTTTTTTTTTGAAAGAATAAAACTCAACCAAACAAAATTCTCTTTCAGCCAAGAGCTGATGGAGATGTAATCTGAAAGAAGGCAGAAATACATTTAATTGCTGCCTGTGATGCCAAACCTTAAGTGCATTGCTTCAAAGTGAGTCCTGCAAAACTCCATTTGCCTGGCATGGCACAGGCAGCAGAACTGCAGGAGCATTCCAGAGCTGATCCCAGTGCTGATGTCTGCTGGGGAATAATCACATCCATACATCCCCACGGATCCAGCCCTCCCTGAGGCAGTGTTGTGCTGGAAGCAAAAGCACAACAATCCCTATCTGCTGTTTGGTTTTTTCTTTCTTTTTTTTTTTTTTTTTTTTTTTTCCAGAGTCTCTGCCTTGTACCAGTGAAACTCTGACTTGTGACACACAACAAATGAGTTCTCCCTCGTTACCATTTGGAGCTGATGACATCTCATTAGGGACAATATCTGAATGTTCTTCTCTGAGCCCTTCCCCTTTCCTGAATCCTTTGCCACCAAAAACTTCGTTGTGAATAACCCCATTTCTTGCCCAGGGTATTTCTGGAGCTGTGAAGTCCCACTATAATGAAAGGCCTGTTCTGTTGATGTAATGAGTTTAGCTGAGTTTCTTCTCTCCCTTTCAGCCATTTTCCTGGGGCATATTGTTGTCTGTTTAGTGGGATAATTGGACATGGAAGAGAAGCAGATCTCCACTGAGCTGGTGTTTTCCAAGGCTCTTCTGTCCCCATGTGAACCGCTCCTGTGCTGCTGCCAGCCTGGGCTGGGGGTGCCCAGAGCCCTTTCTTTTCCATTTTGAAAAATTTAGCTTTGGAAATTGCAATTTGGGAAAATTAACAGGTTATCTGTTCTATCAGTAGTTACTTTCTGTGCAGGGTCAGCTGATGGAGCTCACGTTAAATAAACCTGGGCACAGCAACACAGGTGTCAGCTTGTGAGTCAAATCCAGCTGAGCTGCAGTGAAGAATGTGGAAAATATCATTTCTGTACCTCACAGATGGTCATTCCTTAGGAGCAAAATATACTGAGCTGAACTGGAGCATCCCTTGTCCTGTGTCCAGAGCCTTGGTGTGCTGATCTGCTCCCAGTGCCACTGGGAGAGAAGGCCATGGATGCTGAGCAGGTACAGCCCCCAGAGCAGCCCAAACACAAAGGGCTTGTTTTCTTCCTCTCTGGTTTTCAGGGACAGGGACTGAGCTGACCCAGTGGCAGCAGGCTGTGCACAGGGGTGTGAAGTGATCTGTGTTGTGTAACCACTGCCCCACATAGAGCAGGGACCCTGCGGGCAGCAGGAGGGGGTGGCAACGCTGCTGCTCCTCTGGAAAATCCTCTGGAAATCAAACAGTAAACAGGCTTCAACATTTCCCCACTTCATTCCCTCTCTGGGAAGTTCTCTTTATCCCCAGGGTGCCCATCCCTCCAGTGATAGGGTCCTGAGCACCTGCAGAATAAAGGTTTTATAAGATTATTGAGCTGTTTTGCTTTTCAAGAAGCTCCAAAGTGTTCTCCTAATGCAGATTAGAACTATGAGTTAGTCTGCAACACTAAAACCACTGAAGTCTTAAAGTTGGAGAAGTTTTGCTGAGAAAAAAAGGGGAAAAGGGACTTTCAAGTAGTCTCTGGCATAGTTTTTTTTTATTTTTTTTTTTAAATTATGCTTTAATATTTCAGAGCTCGATGCAGCTCTGTGGTGGATCTTGCAGACAAGTTGCCAAACAGCTCTGGGAGGATTTCCTGGGACGTGGTGAGAGAGAAAAACAGGCAAAGACTTGGGAAGGAAGAAAACAGCCAGGGAATGAATATCTGAACGTTGAAGACATGTGGACCAAATGGCCCAATTTTTGCTTTCCTCCACATGAAGGACCAGAAGGTCAAGTTGAATCTGTGTGTTCTTGTGAGGACAGGAATTTTTCCGTGTGTCTTTAGCAAAATAAACCTGCAAAGTAGTCTCTGGGTTGTTTGTTTGGACTCTGCCATAGCTAATCTGAGCCTAAAACCATTTAAATCATAGAACAGTTTGGGTTAGAAGGGACTTTCAAAGGGCATCGAGTCCAACCCCCTGCCACGAGCAGGGACATCTTCAACTCGATTAGATCGCTCAGAGCCCTGTCCAGCCTGACCTTGGATGTTTACAGGGATGGAGCAGCCACAGCTTCTCTGGGCAACTGCGCCAGAGCCTCTCCACCCTCCTTGTAAAACAGCCCTTCCTTAAATTGTGTAACACCTGAGAAGAGAGACAAAACGCGACCAAGCGGGGATTTTTCTGGGCAGCGCCGGCTCTCAGTGCAGCGATCCAGCCCCGGGAGCTGCGCTGCGGCACAGACCAGGAGACGTGACTCCAGTTCTCGCTGCTCAGAATTCTCCAGGTGTCCCCGGGCAGTGAATCAGCCTCTCTCTGCCTCCTTTGGCTGCAGGGGGGAGGGGGGGGGGGGCTGAGATCACCGCTCTGCCTCCCCCGGGACTGGGGGTACCCGCGGGTGCCTCTCATTGTCTGCCCCGGCCTTCCTGCTGCTGTAATCTGACCGTCCCTAATCTCCACCTGGGGCACGGTGCCTTGTCCTGGCCGTGAGGTAACAACCTTCCTTCCCGGCAGACTTCCCCAAAGAAAGCTCCGATGACTCACGGAGGACAAATTTACGCGGAGCTCCCGGAGCGAGCATCCTTTGCATTGGCAGGGGGAGTTTTTAAAGTGAGGATGAATCAGCGGTGTCAGACTTCGCTGGGAGTTAACTCTTGGTCCCTCTTCCCTGCAGAGAACCCTGGGATTATTTTTTTTCCACTGAAGGAATTCCAGCCAGGCATCCCCGCGGGATGCAGAGCCGTGTGCTCTGCGGGCAGGTTTGGGTACCAGCCCTGGCGTCGTTCCCCGTTTCCCTTGAGCATCCCGGCGGGCAGGTGGGCGGGAGAGGGTTAAGGCAGGCGGAGAGGGTTAAGGCAGGCGGTTCGCTGTTCCCTGCCTGAGTTAGCACTTCCAAGCGCCTCCAGGAGCGCTCCGGGAGCAGCCGCTGCATCCGGGCAGAGGGAGGAGGGACGGGCGGCCACTGCAGCAGGGCAGAGGATGTTACTTAACGTGGCTCCAGTCTCCTCCCCCTCGCCGGTTCGGCTGGGGGAAGGGGGGAGCGGGCTGTAGGGAAGGGATAAGCGGCGGGGTGGGGGGGGTTTGGTGATGCCGGGAGCTGCCGGAGCCCCCCGAGCGCAGCCCGCCCGCCGCAGCCCCGGGGCCGCCGGTCCCGCAGGGGGCTGCGTCCCCTGGAAGCCTCCCGTCACCTCCTGAGGCGAAGCTCGGGCTCGAAGCCCCCGAGAGAGGCAGAGAAGGAGCTCTGCGGTGCTCCAGCATCCCCGGGGCCCTCTCGCAGCGGGAGGGCTGGAAGAACGGAGGCTCCCGGCTCCGGCATCCCGGCGTGGGAAAACTCCCGTGATCCCGACAGGGGATGTGCCCAGGCTCACCGACAAGGTGCTGCTGGGTTTAGACACCTCGGCAGGAGAAGAGCCTCAGGACTTTGCTGTAAATCATGGCAGATACCCCCGAAGGGGCCAGTCCTCCGTGCCTGGTGCTAATTTGTGCCTGAAGCCTCCAGACCTGCCCAGGACAAATAAGAACCTCCTGGGAGACGCACAGGCACTTAATTTTCCTCAATGAAAATATTGATGACACTCAACTGAAAACATGTGTGTTGATCCTGCCCCTTGAAAAGAGGGAAAGGAGCATCCTGGGAGTCTCCTTCTGCCTGCTGAGGATCTGTGGGGCACAGGAGTTTCTCAGAGCTGCTGGGCTCTGCTCCATGACTAACACAAAGGACTCTGAGAGAACTATGGACTCCCCTCCGGTGACCTCCAGCCCTGCACCAGGGCCTGTTACCTTCTCACAAGTTTTTGGGCAGCAGTGCCAGCTCATGGAAGCAGGTAAGAGAGGAATTTGTACGTGTACCACCTTATATCACATCCCACCTCCTGGTTTACAATGTCCTTAGTGTCCTTTCCCTGGCCTGTCTCCCAAGTTCTTCCCTAAAACCTGGTGTTTTCCAAAGGCGAAAACTGGACCCCTGTTGCATTTGCACACCTGCCTCAACTTCCCCTGAGATCCCCCCCAAAGCTTTGTGCCCAAACAATTGCAAATATGAGCAAGGGTTGGGGGTGACTGTGTGATTTTTGGTTAATGGGAACTGGAACAAGCTGCTCTTTTTTGGATAGTGGAAGTTACTGTTGGGTTTTGGGGTGAACACAACATGTGTGGTGATTTTTTTTTTTTTCCCCATTTCAAAATCATGGCACTCAAAGTGGAGGTTGATTTGCTGTTTTGGAGGGTGATTGCTGCAGTACAGAGCGTCTCCAGGTGTGTGGATCTCTGCTTTGGTAGTCAGGGCTGTGAAGGACAAAGTGTTTGTTGTTTTTTGTTGTTTCCCCTGGTTGTCTGTGTTACTGGAGCACCTGGAAGCTCTGATCCTTTTCCCAGTTGTTTTCATACATTTACAAGCCTCTACAGATGGGCCTGGTTATCTCTTGTCTGTGCCTTTTGGCTGTTAAGTAGGTGGTGTGTAACATGAGTAATCCCGATTCTTCCATGTTTGCCTCTTGTTTTCCTTAATTGTTCCTCACAGCAGCTGTTCCTGGTGCTCTGAAGTACCAGTCCATGAAATGCCCCAGAGCTTTGCACTTTCACCCTGCTGCACACCCGAGTTCTCAAGTCCAATCCACTGGATAAGGGATTTTACAAGACTTGTTCTCTTTCTCCCATCCCTGCTGACAGGTAGCTCTGAGGATGGATGTGTTTGTTTACTTGCTGTGGAGAAAGCCTGGCTTTCTGCAGTGATGCCATAACAACACTTGCTCTGAATTTTTAGATCTTAGGGATTGTATTTTTAGGCTTGTTTTACGCAGACCTACGGGGTACTTTAGTACTGTTTGTGCTGGTGCAGATATCTTAGCAAAAATATCCTCCAAAATGTCCCATCCTCTTTTTCTCTCTTCTCTCTCTCTCCTCTCCAACCAATCCTGCAACTAGTGATGTTTGGGTTGTATGTTTCTATTTCTCTGGTGAAATTCCAAATATCATGTTATTAGGGTTTCCTGCAGATCTCTGTGCAACTTGTGCCGTGCCTCTTGTAGCACTTTCCCAGGCTGAGCTGGATGGTTCCTTAGCTGACAGCTAAGCAGTTAATCAAGCCTGAGTTCATGCAGCTGCCTCCAGGGTAATGCCAGGCAGATCTTCAAGAAGGTTTGGTATTAAACTTTCCTATTCCCTGTCCTGGGATCAGTCCTGAGGCCGTGGATCCTTTGAGTTGGATGTCACCCGAAGAAGAGATGTTTGACAAAGCCCCGGTCCTGGGTGAGCAATTTGTTTCCCAAATTAGTGAGACCAACCAGGTGGAAAAAAACACAGGTGGTAATTTTAATTTGGTTTGCTTTTGCATGTCCTTTCTTAGAGGAAAGTGCCAGAGAGGAAACCTGTGACCCCAGGGCTTTGGAATCCCACTGCAGTAACTCAACCAGAAGATTTTCTTCCTTCTGGTGGATCATATTAGCAGGGGTTTCTGGGTGTTTTTTCAGGTACAAGGTGTGATGCAATGTAAAGATGCCTGCCATGGAGGCCCCTGACATCCAAAGTGATTTGAGCAGATTATATGTGTTTTCCATCCTTATAGCAATGATAATTTATACTCAGCACACCTGACAGCAGAACTTCAGCTGATATATTTGTGGTTGTGCCTGTGGTCACAGGCCCTTGAGGTGTGGGCAGGAAGGAAACAGGAGTGGATTCAGGTTTGGGACATCAAACTCTGGTTACTTAGTTGTGTCCTGTGTCACTGGACAAATGACATTTGGGGTGGAGCCATAAAAGGGCTCCATGTTGTGTAGGGCTGTGCAAATGCCTTTACAAACCATAAAACCAGATCTTTTCCCCGTGATTCCCTCCAGCAACAATCCCTGAGAGCTGTGAGGAGTCAGCTCTGACCCAAACAGCCCAAATCTCACAGGAAAAACTTGCAGACACCCAGTGCCACATCACTGTCACTGTTGATATTTGGGCTTCTTAATAACCCTGTGATGTGCTTGAATGATAAAGGTCTTGGCCTTAATTAAATGTCAGATTACCTGCCTGGAGAATTGCTGAGCTCCAGGCAGATCAGAGGCTCGACAGCACCCTTTGATGCACCACCTGGAACGAGCTCATGTGTTTTGTAGCTTCTGCCTTTGGTACAAGGACTCTTCTCCTCCAAATAACCCGTGAGAAGAGCTGGGCTCTGCTGGCAAAATGTGCCTCGGGGGGGTGTGGAGCATGATCTGCTCTCCATGGAGAAGAGCAGAGTGTCTGTGACACCCCCCTGCAAACGTGTCCCTGTCTGCCAGTGTTGCTCTTCAGGAACTTGCTCTGCACACCAAGTGCTGAATGTTGGAAAATTACCCTTCCTCCTCCCAACTGCACCTCGTGGAAACTTGAGGAGTTCTTTTGTGAGGCTGATTCTGCATAACTGGGTGATCGTTCAAGCACAGCTTGTGGAGATTTGCATAATCACAGTGTTAGTCTGATGAGTGTGTTCTCATGTGGGAGCCCTGGCCCAGAGCTGGTGTGCCCCTTGCACAAGTGCCTGCTCTTTATTTACCCTCTGGAGCACCCTTTGCTGGCACAACACGTGGGATGCTCCTTGGAAAAGTTTATTTTCTGTCTCCCCATCCTATTCTACTGCCCCTTATCTCACCCATTTACTGCACCTCAGGAACTTTGTGTGCTGGGATGTGTTCCTTGTGGTTACCTGGGTGTTTACTTGCCCTGAGCACAGGGAACAGCATTCCCTGCTTTGGGAATTCAGGGACAAAACTCCAGTTTCCCAAGGCATTAAATATGGCTGATGCCTGCAAGATCTCTCATTGTCACGTGGGGGCACGGTCACCTTTAGAGGGAGTTTAATTTCCAAAGAGGGGCTGTGATTCCTGCCAGGGATGGCTCAGGGAACAAGGTTTCTGTTTCGATAGTTGGGGTTTTGCCTCGTCCAGCCTGACTACAAAGCTGGTGATTTCCAAAAGCAGGAATTGGGAACTAGGCTGGGTTTGTAGCTTAGGTGCATGCTGCATCTTTTTTAATTTTAGGAGGAGAAAAAGAAAAAGGTCTGGAAGATTTATGACCAAACCAAACTTTAAAATGAGGGTGACTGGGGATTTGAAGGGTATTTCCCCTCTGCTCTCCCCTAAAATATTGAATATGTGAAATGAGACCTGATCCTGAGGAGAGCTGAGGGCTCTCTGGAAGAATTAGGCTTAGCAGAGAAACCATTTGTTTTATGCATGGGCACATTCCAAGCAATTTGTTTGCTATAATGCAGTTTTCTGGATTTACCATCGTGCATTATTCTCTGACTCACTGCTCCATTAGATTAATTGTCATTTTCCATCAATTCCTTGGCTCACAGATGCTGCTGACTTTTTTTTAGGCTCCCAATATTTTTTCTTTATATCTTGCCAGTTAATTTTCCATTGGTTATGAAATAAGGAACCAGAATGAACAGGAAAGTCATTTGAAAATCATCCAGACTCTGGGATTTTTGCAGTGAATCTTTTCCATATTATCTTTCCATTACATATCCATCATCCAGCACTTGCAGTCTGTATCCCACTCTGATGGCTGATCCCCAAGTGGATGTGAGATTGGTTTGACTCCCAAGCTGAGTTGAGGAGCTGGGGTAGATGTCCCAGACTGGTTTGGGTTGGAAGAGACCTTAAATCTCATCCAGTCCCACCCCCTGCAGTGGGCAGGGACACCTTTCACTAGCCCAGGTTGCTCCAAGCCCCGTCCAACCTGGCCTTGGACACTTCCAGGGATGGTTCACATCAGATCCCTGCTGCTCCTGGGTTTCCTGAAGTACAGACATCAGTGAGCTCAGGCTCCAGCTCTGAGAGCATCTGATTAAACCTTCAGTGACAGCTTTCCTTTCCTCCCGAGGACAACAAGAAGAAAAACAGCCAGCAGAAAAATCTGCTTGGATCTGTAGGTCTGAGACCACACAGAATCAGGGTTGGGAATGTGTTCCCTGGTACTTAGTGCATCAGGTTTCCTGTGTGCATTAGTCAGTAATAAATCTTTCATGGTAACAAGCTGTTTCATTTGCTCTCCCAGGAGAAGAGGTGGTGGTGGGGGGGGTGTGGATAGCGAAGATGTTTTCAAATATGATTCAACAGTCTGGGTTAATTACTGTGCCTGGGGTTAGGTTTCCTAGTTTGGGAAAGCAAGGGGCAGGAGTGGGTATCAGGTGGGTGAAGTGAGGTGGATTTGGTGATCCCCCAAGGTCTTCCTGGGTGGGGGGACCACTGACATCCTGGGTGAGACATCAGTGAGTTGGGATGCTCAGGCATGGAATGGTTTGGGTCAGGTGAGACCTTAAAAAGCCCATCTAATTCCCACCCCCTGCCATGGGCAGGGACACCCTCCACTAGCCCAGGTTGCTCCAAGCCCCTTCCACCTGGTGTGTGTTGGTGTAGAAAGAAGCATCACTTTTGTCAAAACCAAATCCCTGTTTCTCTGAGATGACAAGGAATGTATCAGAACCCAACTGCTCCAGGAGCCCCTGCAGTTTTGTGTTTTAGGTGAGAACTGGATAATCTGATACTCTCCAGCACTTGGATTAATGTCATTTAGCTCTTCCCAGAAAAGCATAGAGTAAAAATGCTCCTTGACAGGTGATGTGCTCCTGCCTGAGCTGAATAGATTCAGGGGCCACAGAAATGAGATGGGAAGATCACTAATATTTTCCTCTTCCACCCAGTGGAACGAGCTGTTATTAGGGATTAAAAGAAGTGACATTTATCTCCCTCTCTTCACTTCATTAGGTAGCCCTGTGCTCCCAGGAGGACAACAGTGTCCTTGCTGTCTATACCTTTAATTCCTTTACAGTATCATCCTTTGAATCCCA